CTACGCCGAGGAGGAGGGCGTCGCCATGACCGAGGAGCGAGCCAAGGCGCAGGCGACGGAGGAGGTCGCGCGCATCCTCGGCGCGACGCGCGGCGAGGAGCCCTGCGACGCCGTCCAACGACACGCCGCGGCGTCGGGCCGCTGGCTCGTCGACGCGCTGCGCTCCGCGGCGCCCCCGGCGCCCCCGGCGACGCTGCTCCGACTCCTCCGGAAGACGTCGCAGCTGAGGCTGCGGTCCGCGCTGCCCGACGACGACGCGGCCGTCGCGCCTCTCGTCGCGGCGCGCTTCCGCGCCATGCTCCCGGAGCGGAAGACGTCCCAGCGGAAGACGTTGGAGTCGCTCGACCTCGCGGGCTGGTTCGCCGCGCAGCAGATCTGGCTCGACCCGCGCGGCGTCGTCCTCGACAAGGAGCCCGCGCTCGTCGCGCCGTGGCGCCGCTTGCTCGACAGCGGGCGGACGGTGCTCGAGCTCCATGCCTCGAACGAGCTCTTCGGGCCGTGTCGAGCTGCGTGGCATTCAACCGGTGGTTCGGGGCGCGCGGACCGAACTTCGAAACTCTCGGTCGAATCCAAATCTTTCGACCCAGGTTGAACGCCTTCCTGGACGCGACGGACGACTCCCACGAGGAGCTCGACGCGGCCGCCGGGTGCCGGGACTGGCAGGTGTCGTCCGACGTGCGCCACGCGAACTCGCGGGCCGCCGCGCAGCGCGGCGTCGACGCGCTCGACGCCGCGGCCCGGAAGCGCGTGGGCCGGCGCCAGCTCGCGGGCGCGCGCTTCAACAGCCGCCGCTTCCGCGAGGACCTGGTGCCCGGGGTCAAGGGCCACGTGCCGCGCGCCGCGGACGCGCGCGGCCGCGTCCACGGCTTCGTCCACCTCCTGCGGCGGACCGGCGGCGCGTGCCCGGGCCTCAGCGACCTCGCGGGCTGCTTCGGCGGCAACGCGCCCTGGGTCCCGCGCCGGCGTCCCGACGATGAATTGCGGGGAACCGACGAACGCCCCGTAGGCCTACGCGCTCAACGACTGCACGAACCTGGACCTCGAGCACATCGCCGCGTTCTGCGGCCTCTCGATCCTCCTGGGCGGCGCCGAGGGCGACGCGAGGGAGCACGCGATCTGCGCCTGCTCCGCGTTCGCCGCGGCGCCCGAGGCCGTCGACGCGCTCCTGGCGTGGTTCGCGCTGACGCCGCGCATCGGCCGGACCGAGGAGCCGCCGGAGGGGCCCCACCCGTGGAGCGACCTCTTCCTCGGCGACGACGGGACGCCCGCCGTGCCCGAGCTGTTCGACTACGTGCTCAGCGACACGCCCGTCCCTGCGACGCCGGCGCAGCTGACGACGAGCATGGAGTACTGCTGGATCATGCTCGAGGGGCCGCTCGCGGTCGCGACGCTGGTCTGCGGCGCGCGGTGCGGGTGGTCCGCGGGCCGGGCCGGGCGCGACCAGGCCTCGGGCGCGCTGGTCCCGCACCCGGTCCAGGCCACGGTCGCGGCGTCCGCGCACCTCCCGGGCTTCCTGGACCGCCTCCTCGAGTTCGTGTTCCTGTCGTTCGAGGACCCGAACCCGCCGGGCGTCGCGGGCCTCGCGGCAAAGGTCGGCCTCTCGGCGACGGAGGCCCCGCTTCTGAGCATCGGCGAAATCGNCGCGCGCTGCCTCGTCGCGCTCTGCCAGCGCGTGCCCGCCGCCGTCGCGCCGCTGCGG